AAAAAAAAAAAAAAAAAAGTATGAAAATGTTCATCTTCTTCTTCCACCCATTGTCACACCACCGTCACCACTAAACTTGGGCTAGAGTAAGAATAATCTCTCCGTCTAATTGTTGAGTCGTCATTTCAATTCGGTGATGGAAAAATCATTGGTGGAGGTTTTGGGATATGCTATATTTTAAGTTGCAATGAAGGAGAGAGGTGGTGTAGGCCATGGAGGGGAAGGAGGGGGATGTGAGGAGTGGGGTGGATTGGGGAATAAGATGAAGAATTTTTTTTTTATTTTCTCTTTCTCTTTTAATTGTATAATAATTTAATTTAATTGTATATATTTTGATAAAACTAAGGTTAATGTGGTCTTTTCAATAATTTTTGGTAAAAAAATGTTAAAATATCATTTTATTTTATTTTTTGTTTTAAATGAGAATATGTTAAAAGACCATCTTACTCTGCATTGTTTAAATTAAGGTTAGATATTTGATTTTTGATTAACTGACTTTGATATAAACCGCTTGAGGTTGTTTTGCTTTACATTTATTGAAAGAGTTTAGACCTAGCTATTATGATTATAGAGTTTAGGACCGTACAACACTTTTTTGAAGAATCTCTGCTTCAAAATTCCTTGAAAAAAAATCAAAATAAAAAAGAGCACATAAGAGTAGTGGTGGCAAATGAACCGTCAACTTTGACGGCCCGTGACTCAATTCGAAAAAATGTTCGAGCCGAATCGACTCGTGTCTCGTTTGCACAAGTCGAAGCTCGGGCCAAGTCTCGAAAATGAGATTTGACCCGAGCCCTAGCCAGCCCACAAGCATTGTGAATCGAAATACGAGACAATTCGTGAATAGCTTGTGAAGTAAATACAACAAATTTCAAAACATAAAAAACTAGTATATACTAGCATTAAAAATGCCATAAAGCACTAGCAAGAAACTAGCCTGCTTTCGCGTGACATGCTTGCCACTTGTCCCTTCCCGTTGTCAAATTCAAACGTCACTTAGATACATTCAATTTTCATAATGTCTCTAAGAAATGTTTGAATTGCATAACGTCTCTAAGAGCAAAAGTTGCACGTGATCTACCAATACCTCCCATATTTAAAATGCATCCAAGTGGCGGGATTTTATCGGACGAATGATTAAAGACCGAAAGAGGATATATTGGAGGCTATAGAATGCATGAAGGACTGGAAATGTGGAGATTATATGTTCAAGATTAAGTTGACATTATAATAATCAAGGAGTTGCAGCAGAGCCAGGCATAGAATCTAAATATTATAAGTTTTAGTTTCTTGATTTAATTGCATAATTTTGTTAATTCATTTTTTTTTAATTATACACTTAATATTTTATTCTTGTATAATTTTAACTCCATCTACGTTGAATTTAGCCGATCCCAACCTCAAAAAGGAGGAGGAGATTTGTTATTTACTCTTCAAACCAGTTGCATAATTAATCTTTTTAAAATTTTAAATTATTGATCAATTAGTTTGTAAATTTCAAAAAATTAAATAATTAATTTTGTAGTTTGTAAATGAAGGATCCATTTTTTCTTATATTTGAGTAAAAAAATTCAGGAACCGGATTGTCTCGATAAGGGCTTGATCCGAAGCCTAGGCCAAGCTCCATACTTGGGGACAAGCCAAGCTTGGGCTCGGTTGAGCCCAAAAAGCTCTAGCCTTTTTTTTACAAGCTGATACTGAGCCCTCGAGTTAGGTTCGTGAGCGTTGCTAGATAAGAGAGAATAATAGATAACTAGATAAAAATTCAAATAACAGATTTCCAATTATCTCCCGTTTGATTTTATTGAAAATAAAATTTTTAGTATGTTTTGATGGAAGTTCATGATATATATGATTGAAAAATTAATAAAAGTTATGCGTGTTATAAAATACGTTATTATAAATAAATTTAAAAAAATCGGGTTCAAACTTAGGCTCTAATTGAGCCCTATGTTTGTGAAAAAAATGAGTTTTGTAAAAGTGGAATTTTTTTGGATTTAAGAATAAAACTATTTTATTGATAGAACTGTAATTGAAAATGAATTTGAAAAAAAAAATGATTTTTTTTGATAACTTAATTTAAATATTCTCGTGGCAATGATGCAGAACTCACCTCTTGCACGTCACAGCAAATAATAAATTCCCATGCTGCAGACTTCGTGTAAGCCTCTTCAATTTCTTGTACTACTTTTGGCCATTTAAGGCCAAATTTTATCAATTAATTTTTATATAATCAAAATTAGGTTTTGTTTGACCCTATTTTTTGGAAGATCAAATTTTATAATAGTGTTTTTTTGAAAAATGCGTGATTAAAATGAATTTGAAAAAAAATATATTTTTTTAAATAACGGGGCTCAAACTAGAATATATTTTTCAATCACTCATTAAAAGTGATATTGTGTCAACTTCGACTAAATATTTTGTCTTAATCCGATAGTCAAATTATAAAAATAAATTGACTAATTTATTCTATTCGTCGAGTAGATTATCATAGTATATTTGAAATCTCAAAACTAATTTCGAATGAATAGAAAATTGCGACCCAAAATTGAAATAAAAACGAGAAGGAAAAGAGGTAACACTGTCGCTCGAACGGCAGGTTAGTACCTAGTTACTAGTTAGCGGTAAAGATGTCGCTCTAGCAATAAGTGAGCGAAAAGCTTCTGTTGAGTAGGTGTTACTGACCCTCGAGCGAGAGGCCATCGATAGGCTAACGACAGTAATGGATGCTTCCATTCGTGAATGTTACTGAATGCCGGGGCATGTATCTTCGCTCACAACTTCTTATCTTCTATAAATGTGACTCTTTTGACGTTCATTATGAATCTGATATCATTTGTATCTTTTGTAAAAACTCTCAAACAATAATTATAAAATTGTTTTCTCGTAGAGGGAAAAAAATTTGTTTGAGTTCACTGTTACTTATGATTTGAGGTGCGTCTACCATAAGATATATTCATTGTATCTTGAGAGACAGGTGACGTGATCCATTAGCACCATTGCTGAACAATTTTTTCTTAAAGGGAAAGTGTTAATCACTTGCCTCGAATTTATTTCATTCACTTTCTTTCTTTTTATTTCTATTTTACATAGAATTTAATTACGCTCCCGCAAATTATATTTTACCATTCACTTTGTCAATTACAAAGAAACATTTCACTTAACAAATCACCAATAGAATGCAGAGATGACAATTGCTGATTAGCAAGCGAAACTTTATTTTTTGTCCACTAGCCTATCAGTAATTGCGAACTCTACACCGTGTCATCCAAGTGGTAAATTTGGGTGTACATGTATCACCACCGTTAAATCATTTATAAATTTTCTCATAACGAATTATTATAAGAAACAATAATTTTCTATATATAATAGTTTTCCAATATATCTATTGTATTACTAGCAATTTAGTCTTCAATCCTTAAATTTTTATGTAAACTTAATAAAAATTGCCCTCTTCGAGTTCTCAGGCATAATTTCTAATTGAGAGTAAAGCTTAACCCTCGCAGATAAGACATTCAAGGGTCATGCGAGTTGCCTCAATTCTTAAATGGCATGAACAACGTTTAGAATCTCATCGACCCTCTCGATAATTTATGGATATTATATATTTCGAAGAGCAATGAAAGAGTCATTCCATTCTGATTGTTTCTAAATCACATAAGCTTTGTTTTTTTGTTAATGTATCATATGTAACATATGTTAGATTCAAAATCTTATAAGTAAATTCCATTAGATTCTAAATGGTATTCAAGACAGCTGTGGTAACAGTATCATATTTCAAAGAGAAAAAAAAGATCACGTGACGATTTATAAAGATTTGAACAATCATGCAATTATAATAAAGAAAGGTTGGGGATTGATTTGATCATTTTTAAACATTGAAAATCAACTTGTTACCGAAACAATAGTTCGGGACAAGATCGTGAAATATTTACAGAAGTCTCACATCTAACATCACGTGCCGTACACGTGCCACGAGCAAGACCACAGGCCCCGAAGCAAAAGTTAAAAGGACGTTAAGGCATTACACAATCGTCAAACCCTATCTCTTCTTCTTCTCTAAAGAAACCCTATTCTTTTTTTCCTTAGACTATTACTTATGGAAATTTATAGGTTTTTCGAATCAAAGATGTATGGGGCGGTGAATTTCAGCTGGATTTGATGAATAATTCTCATAAATCAGACCCTAGGCACTTGTAACATAATAATTGAGGAAAAAATCAAGATTTTGAAGCATATGGAGGGCTCTGTGACCACATCCGAGGATCTCGGGGCCCCGGCAGAGTCTTGGGAGGTTGCTGATGTCGACGCCAGCATGCGCCGTCTCATGCTGTCTTCTACAAAAAATGATGCTGTTTCATCTGATTCTTCCAGTAGTAATAGGTCTGAGAAGGGTGATGTTTCTCCTTCGATTGGTGCATCAGAGGATTTGGTGAATTCGGTGGATCAGTTTCTAAGGGAGGCATTGCAGAATCCTCGTGAACGGCTCTCTGGTTTTCTTTTCAAACTTTTTGTCTCTAGGGTCGATTTTTGATTTGCATTCCTTGCTTTCTGGTTTTCCAGATTGTGTTATGTTTCGAATTTTTGTTTATTGCTTAGAAGTTGTACTTTACTATTAACCCGTAGCTAATTCAGTATGATTTTGTTGATTATACATGTAAAATGTCTAGTCAGTTTTCTTGGTAACATGTTTTGTTTATGGACAAATTGGTGCAATGAAGTTTTTAGGGTAAACTGCTAATAGACGTGTCTATGTGGTTTTAGAGAGGAAGTCTTTATATCTAGTAACACTCACGGATAACATCTATGATTTTTTAATTACATCAAAAATCTAAGAGCAGGAAAATCCAGCTCTCAAGAGAAACAAATGAAATGGTTAATATGATTTATAGGCAATGTCTTTATTATAGAATATTGAGGAGCTATAATGCATAGCTCTGTATGATATAGATCTCATGAACCTAGCAACAAAGCTGTAGCCAATTAGCAGCTGAACGTTTAGCAGAACCACAATTCTTAAAAAAGAGACATCGTTCACGCATTGAGAATTGGTTTTGAATAATTAACAGAGCAGACCAGTGTGGAATTTTGGCTGAAAAAAGGTTGCAGTTTTCTGCTTGTGTAGGCACATGTTGCATAAAATCTTTTCATATCAGTAGCCCCTATCAATAAGAGAGGGTACGGGGAGGAATCATGATGTGCTAGTTGGACTTGTTTCATATGGGTTAGGGTTACTGAATTAATTGCATGCCCGTGCTGCGGTCCCCAAGGATCTATATTGAATATATTAAATTTGTGAAGGTTATCAGCATCAGATGGGGCCGTTTATATGGAAAGAAAGTTGTTTCAATTATCTTTTGGGTGATTTGAACAGAAATAAATTGTAGAATTGTTTAGGAAAAGAGTGAGTAGTTGTTGATTTACATGATGGGGGAATATTTTTAGTATATTTATGAGTTTCTATTGTTATTGACTTGGGACTCCTAAGTTAGGAGTGCAATTGTTCCCTTCTTCTTTTACTGTCCTTGGGCAGAAAATTTGTTGTATTCTTGATTATTGTTCTCTTTATTGCATTAGAGTGTACCTTCTCCTTTTGATGGATGTACTCGTGCATTTTATTAATACATAAACTATACTTATCAAACAAATTGCCATTATTTTAATGTTTACCTCTATAAGACCTTGAAAACAAGGGAAGATATTGTTCTCTTGCTTCTATTTTTTCCTCATTTTTTTGGCAAATCCTTTGGCATTTCCTATCTAGGGGATAATGGTTTTCCATGTTCCCTTTGCAGTTTTACGAATCGAGCAGGATGTTGAAAAGTTCATCCGGGATCCTACTAGAGATCAGATGGAGTTCCAACAGCTGCCTACTTCTTACTTGAGGTTGGCTGCACATCGTGTAGCCCAGCACTATTCACTGCAGTCTACAGTTTTATTGGATAATCTGCCTGATGGCTCTGTTTCCAGAATTATTGTACTCAAAACATCTAATATTCGCCTTCCTTCTATCCGTCTTGCTGACATTCCTGTTAATCTACCAACAGAAGATGGTGGTGTTAAGGTTGCAATCAAGCAAAGGCCGCAGAAAGGGTCACAAACCTTGAGTTCTAATTCACATTCTTCAAAATCCAGTGGTTCTAAAAGTGTTGAGGAAAGAAAGGAGGAATATAATAGGGCCCGAGCACGAATATTTAGTTCCAATAGTTCTAGTGGGAATTCGAGTTGGATACCAGAAAATGAGCACAGGACGAAGGATAGCTTCCAGAAAGGTTCATCCAGGATATCAAACAGTGAAGAGAGATTTTTTCCAGGAGGTGGGTCTGATCCTATTCGTAGAAGTTTGTCTGATTGTTCTACAGTTAGCAGTAGATCACCTGTAAGTGGGACAGAGGAGCCAGGTGGTAGGTTCAAAACTAATAATAGGGTGGCTATTTTTCGGGACCGTGAAGTTGATCGTGCGGATCCTGACTATGACAGGAGCTATGACAGGTGTATATTTGTTCGCTCTGTCTCACGTGCACACACACAGCTAAGTCATGAATATTCTACGTATCAGTGAATTTATACCTTTCTTTTTGAGAACTACTGACTGCCAGATTTTCTTGAACATATGAAGCCTTGCTATTAATGGGTCTATTTACAAAATTTGACGGTTTCGATTAACTTGTGCTGCACTCTTATGGTTTAATTTATTGATCATATATGAAATGTTCATGATATATATTGCAGTAGTTTTTCCCATTAGATGGCATTCTGGTATACAATAGATTGCTTGATTGTGTTTTGATCTTTCAATTCGCTTTGATGTTTCTGTCTTGAGCTGGATACAGTGTTTTGTCAATTGAGATAGAGCTGGTTGAAAATGGTCAAAAATATATGTTGTCTAAAAGCAATCTGGAATGATAATTTGATATTTTTCTCAGATATATGCAAAGATTTGATCCTGGTTTTGGATATAATGGCGGCCCATATGCCATTCAGCCTATGTATGCACCTGCCTTGAACTATAACACTGAATTTCCACAGCTTGGATCAGGTCATAGGCCTCTAATCTCTACTGAACACCAACCTTGTCCCGTTCCCCAACGTCCACCTGGGCCATGGGTTGCACCATCAACTCCTGGTATTGGGTATGGTCCGCCAGAGACAATGATGGCTACATTTAGTCCCAGTCATGTCGGCGTGCGCAGTAACTCGGCTCTCTACTTTCACTCTGCTCAGTATCCTTGTCAACACTCTGGAATGCCAGTTATCCATCCCCATGAAGCAATTCACCAGCCTTTTCCACAGGTATGATGAATGTTGACTGTCCTATCCATTTTTGTTGTCCTATTGATTGGTGACTGGCCGATTGTTTTACCTTTTATTGTATTTATCCCTCCCCACTGGATCCCAACTCCTTTCCCTGGGTGGGAAATAGTAAATCAAGCATCTCAAATTCAATCAAGGAAATTTGAAGCACGGATTCTCAAAGCAATGCCTTTGATGTCTAGTTTGGATTTTGGAGTACTTGCAAAGCTTTGTCAATTGAGCTTCAAATATGTTATAGGTTTTAAAAAAATTAATTTTTCACATGACACCTGCACGTCAAGGCCACAACTACTCTGTTGTGTAAGTTTTGGAATACAAAGTAAAATTCAAAATTATTTCAGTACAAATATGCTGAAGATTTCACCTGCAAAATTCGGAATCAAAGCTGAAAATTTATTAATTTAATGGAAATATAAAAATATGAAAGAAAGATATATTAAGCCCCTGTTCGACATCCTTTATTTTGAAACTCTTTTTTCTACGTACTCTTTTTCAACCACACGTTCACACAATATTTTACACGTAAACCCAAAACTTTTCCCTACTTTTTAACCACACATTTTTACAAAAAATTACTCTTCAAAACATTGAACATCCCAAATAATGGCAATCAAACATTGGCTAAGTACATGTACAATTTTAAAGTATCTGATCAATGCATGTGTCTGCGTGCTACTATTTTTAAAATTGATCTGTTGATTGTGTCTTGTCATGACTGTATTTGTGCTTCATAGTTAACGGCCATGGGTGGAAATTCGTTATCGGTTGTTGTAATTATGTTTTGGATGGACCATTATTACTTGTTTTTTAAGTTGCAACAATGTTCACGATAGAAATAGACAATGGAAGGCTTGTCATATTCTACAGTTCTACTTCTTTCAGTGTGTTATTTGTTAATTTTTCATCCCTTATTCTTATTAATTAGAATTTTTCGTTATTGAACATGTCTTTTCAGTCTTATCAGCAGCGACATGATGCTAGTTTTGGAATAGCCCAGCCCCGATGAGGGGCGTGGGCCATGCCTGCACCCTACCAGTAGACTCTCTTAAATAATGAGGAAGCTGCTAGGGCAGCACATTGTCCCAACTGGACAAGGTGCAGGCATAAGCAACCGAGATGCACTGAATGGACATTCAGCATCATCATAATCCATCTTTGGTCCATCCGCAAGTCTCGGTTAAATAGAGCTTCATTCGTGTTCGATGGAGTTAATTGGTGGTATTGCAACAGATTTGATGAGTTCCCTAGGACTCTCCCTTGCACTGCATGATGACGAAAATCAAAACTGGAAGTGAAATTATTGGAGCAGCGTAGGTGACTCATAAGTTGTGCTAAGGTATAGTTTCAAGACCATAATCCGACTCAATTGTTCCAAGTTTAGGATGTGTAGCTCAGCTTGAAAAGTTTGACTTACAATTAAGTACTGAAACGATTAAGTTACTGTGATTTACTTTCAGAACAATTAACATTTTGAGTTGAAGAAAAAAGCAATTTGTGTTTGGAAACAAGTTACTTAAAACATTCACAATTTTTTTAAGTGTAGCCAAATACGCTCTCGTATACTCTTTATATATATAGTGATTGTGCTGTAAACGATGCTGAATAGCTAGCTTTATTTTGTTATGATACCAGGAGCTACCAGTGTGCCCGAAAAATGATTATTGCCTGAAAGATGTCTTGGAGAGGAAGAGCCATCTGTTTGGGCCTCAGGGAACTGTGACTTCTTGGCTAACTGTGACTTGTGTCTCCAATTATATCAACTGTCCTAGTAAATGTAAAGCTTCTACTCAAAATAACGTACTGATACGAACCAAACCAAACCTTCTATAACATAGTACTTGAGAAGTGTTTCTGCTTAGTTTTTTTTTTAATAATTATACTGCATCTTTGTTACTTACCAATTGTTACCATTTTCTTGTGCCAATGTCGTGTAATGCTAATTCTGCAATATAGCATGCTTTGTGTCATTGATTGATAAAATGCTGTTTTGAGGGGATTATGTTGTCTGGCGAAGTGTTGGTATTCAGTAGGGTGGTGTTAATGTTCCGTACACTTGAATGTTGCGCTTCTGGTTCTCTTCTACATAGCATCCACTCGTAAAGGTTGGGCAGTAGTGGCCTTGAGCTAAGCCTGACACAGTGGTACATTTTCACATGCTATGTCTAAAACTTCCATAACTACGTTAGCTTTATACTTTGAATGTCAACCTCATCACAATTTGACCTTATCATTGCTCTCTCTTTTTTAAATCTACATGTTAAATATTCCAGAGTGCTGTACGGGCTTGCATGAGACACCTATTACTCGGCCAAGTGAGGGAAATAAAAGCAATTTACTTCCAGTGTCTCGCTCATTTGCCTCGCAAGTGTTTTTTACCCCAAGATTGACATTGAAATGACTGTTACAAGTTTTTAAGTTACTTTCGATGGGTTCGTTGATTGTGTTATAATTTTATTAACTGCAGCAAGCATATACACCGTGGTTTGCTCTAAAGAACTTTGAAGAACGGGCTTTGACCTGCACCCAATCTCGAATTCTTGGTCAACTCGAACCAACTCAGACTATACTCCGAAGATGAAACGCGAAAATATATATTTCCAGCACATGCTGGCGTGGCAAGGAGAACCAAAAATCAGTGCTATACTAGCTAAGTTCTCACCAGTTCAACGCAGACCATATATATGGACAACGCCACACCTACAATGTACAACTACTACAATTTTAGAGGCTCGTGTTCCCTCATGCTACCCGATTTTTCCGATAGAACGTCAAGTGCCGTTAAAGATTTTTGTACATCTCTCATTTTCCAATTTCCACAAAAATTGGCTTCCAAGATTTAAAAAAAAAAGTCAAGTATTAGAAAGACTTGGTACAACTGAGAATAAATATGGTATAACATCACGAGCACTCTCTAGTTCTCTATATTTCTTCCGAAGTCCAGAACAAAGAAAAGAAAGAGGCGCATTGTTTATTGAAAAAATTCAAGATTCCTTTGCTTCACAGAGAAGCTAGCAATCTACATCCAGATTCTTGTCAATGCTCGAGAATGTCTTGTAAAATGCCTTGAAGTGCTTGTAAGCAATGTCCACATCTTCTTTTCCACATATCTCTCTCACACTGCAGATAAAGGAAGGGGGGGGGGCAAAAGAGTTCACATCAGCTTAAATTAAGCAGCCAAAAAAAAGAAAAAAAGGGGAAGCAAAAATGATAGATCGATTCCATCGCAAAAACCATGTTATATATATAATACAGACAAATGCAACAAGTCCTCGAAGGATCTCACTTAAGAAAAGCGCGCCAATCCATCCAGACATAATATATTTTTACGAGAACCTTGTGACCTTTTTGACGAGATGCTTTATATGATTTGACAAGTATACGGAAATACACAACTCACGTAAAAAAAGAAAGAAAAAAAAAACTCAATTAACCAAAGGCTAATAAACCTCTAGACTCTACACGTAAAATTTCAAGTATGTTTGGGAAAGCTTTTTGTAGATTACAAACTGTGAATCTTACAAAATGTGGATAAAAAGTAGTTCTTCTTACTAAACATGTGGACAAAATGATGTTTAACTAGCTTATAAGCTTGAACAAGTTTTTTTTCTTTTTAAAGCAAACTATCAACACAGCTTTTTTAGGCTCCACCAAGAAAGATTGATAAGGGTTAGGAACAAGCTTTACCAAACATACTTTTTATCAAAGGTTAAGTGCATGCTTGACCATGTTTAAAAATTTATTTATGAGTAAATAAGTAATTCTAAAATAAATATTTTTTTGTTGGTCAAGGTTAGAAATAATTTAAATATTTCAAAGTAATCCCTATCTTATCAGAAAAAAGTTACGTATCCAAATGTGTTTGGAAATAAAAAGTAACTTTTAAGCTTAGCCAACTATGTAGCAAGGCCCAGCATGATGATTGATTTGATTCAATTTAGTCCACGGAACCAAACGTTTTCTATTGTGGGGTCAAAATTAAGAACGATCGAGTGGAACTCAGGTACTCCAAGGCGGTAGGCTTCAGTCATTGGCGCTGAGCGTCTTCTTCTGGCCTTGCCCAGTACCTTAAGGGTGATTTACAACAATGCAGTACAGATTACATACTTAAATTACTCAACACCAGGCAAAAAAAAATTCCAATTACAGCACAAACCCCAATGATGAGAAACAAATTTGGGTGAAAAAGGTTTAAAAGAAAAAGGAGAAAAAAAATCAAATATAAACACCAAAATCTATAATTTCAAACATTTCGCCACAATCAATTGTAACATCAAAATCTCACATCCTCAATCACGAATAATGACATAGAAAAGTAAAAGGAGAGAAAATCAACTATAAAACCAGTACATACGAAGGAACAAAACTCAGATACCAATAAGCTCGGATATATTTTGACAGCATTATTTCAAAGTAAATAATTAACAAAATCTAATTTTTATTGTTAACACACCTCAATTTTAACCAACAAAAACTATAATTTTTGCCCATGCGAACTTTACCATCAAGTTCATTTTAACTCTAGAAATCAATCGACGCCAATTTGAAATAAGTATGAAAAACAAAACCCTCGAATTCCAATTTGGAAATAGTAGAAAAAAATAAAAATTCAGAGAAATAATCAGAATACAGTTGAGATTTCTTGGGGAATTGAAAAACCCAGAAATTAAATTGGAATATAATGAAAATTAGAGCAAGAAAGAAAGAGAAATCGACCTGGGTTTGAAGAAGTTGAGATAGGAGTGTTTTTTCCCCCTCACCCAAAGCGTTCACGACCTATGGCTTGTCTACAGAATTTTTGAAAAAAACAAAAAACAAAAAATTTTGGGTTCAGTTGACCCCACATGACCCCATGTGGGTCCGCCCCTGATTTAGTCCACAGCTGACATCTCAAACTAGAAGTCAGTGTAATTAACAATAATTACAGAAAAGCAACCCACTCTGTTCTACACCATAACAGTAAGAATGGAAACAGATTTAAGCTCTCTTCCTAAATTTACATCTTTCTGATAGTAGAAAGTAACGGGAAGCAAATGGTTCAAAGAGCTAGTATCTAAAAACTCAAAAGGATTTCAAATATTCGTTCCAAAGCTCTGCATGGATTCTCATAATTCTTGCATAGTTACTAAAATTAGTAACTTACCTGTGCATGGATAACTGAGCTATGCCACAATCAACAGTACGAATTCCAACTCCTGAAGCCAGTATTGGACCTATAGTTGATCCACATCCCATATCATTTCTCACGACAAAGTCCTGCAGAAAAAAACAAATAACATACTTACATCATAACTACAAGGACTAGGAAGTATTGGAAGTCAACCAAGAGTTAAAATAATCATGTCTGGTAGATTTTAATGCAGCACTTCAATCATCCATCATGAAATAATTTTGGATGCTGTGTAGGACAAATATTTTGTCATGTCATAAAACAGAAAATGAGCTCTCTTTACGATTATATTAAAATGCATGAAACCATGTCTATTAGCATTGCATGATGAATAATGCAATGCCACAAATAGCACCACAGGGACTCCGGACTTTGGACTTTGACATATGAGATCATAATTAAACAACTTTTTGACAAAGGTTTGTATATCTTGTTTACAAAAAAATAATTAAGAACGTCATGAGAAGTTGTTTGTCACCAACAGGTGCCGACTGGCATTGCTAGTGGCATCGGCCACAGGGACAGAAGGTAGGAGTGACTAAAAAGGAACATAATGTAAAGTTTAATTGACCAAACTGGAACCAAAAAATAAAAAGATGGGTGACCAAATGGAGACCCCCATGCAAGTTTCAGTTTTACTTTCCTCCTGTTTCGCTCAAGAATTTTCTGAAGTACATAGAATGCAATCACCTGAGTTGGAAGATTGTGATTTTTTGCAACTTCTTTGAACAGAAAAGCTGTAACTCCACTAGTAGCATAACGTTGGTTTGCGTTATGTTTGATAACAAGTCCCTTTTGCAATAATGGACGATGGTTTTCTTCATGCTTATCCATAAAGTTTGGGTGGACTCCATGAGCCATGTCAGCAGACACTACAGGGTAAGTTCTTATCAGAAATCGGACTTGAGATTCCAGTTGGAAGAAACTGAACAAGGAGAAACAGTCAAGTACAATAATACAAGAGAGAAATTTTTGAAATGTTTTCAAAGTCCTAGAAAAAAATGACCTTCTGTTGTCAAAATATACTTTTTATTTAAGAATTCATAGCAAGTGTTCATTTTACCCTTATGAAAACTAGCTTTACAGTCAAAAGCATTTGAATAGCCTTATTCTTACTCTTAGTTTCAGGAAATGTTTGTTTTACCCCTACTAAAAGCAGTCTTACAGTCCAAGTGTTGTTTTTTATTCTCGACTGGGCCCAGTTTACAATCAACCCAACCCCCTATTTGGCCAACTCGACCCTCGCAGAGTTGACACAGATTTTGTGCATGAAATATTTTTTGTTTTTTTCTCCTCTTTTTTCCTTCATCTCTGCCTTTATATACGCACAAAAATTCAAAAGTATTCACTCCCTTCCAAAATCGCCCCACTTACTAGTACACACAAACACATGTTTTGGGTTGAAATGGAGATCTTCCTTTTTGGGATAATTAAAAATTGTATTCAAAATAAATTGGATGTGCAAGGAATGAAAACTTGTTTTGAGAAAAATGAATTTACACAAAACGGATTAGTCCTTTGAGACAAAGACAATATACTCTACCTATAGAAGGATCAACATACCAAGGAAAGAATTACGAATTGCACGCGCAAAAGCACATTCCCCAACATATTGATGACCAAAGCAAGCAGTTATTCGTCTCATGGCCTCAAACATTGTTGGTGCACCAGCTCCCTGGTATGAATCTGAACCAACCTGTAAATCATGAAGTTTAGTAGTAGATGCAGGAGTAAATGAACCAAAAAAAAGAAGAAAAGAAAAGGAAAAGACACAGCCATACAGCAAATGAAATGTTGTGTAGAGCAAAAATTGGAAATAATTATTCTTCCACCTAGAACTAATTGAAAATATTTACAAACATCTACGTTACCAGCATTAGTGGTTTCCAATCATGCATTTCACTTTTCATATTGTTGCATGGATAATCATGAGCTATGATGCACATATATGGATAGACACACGTGTCAGACATATCGACACACAAATTTTCAAAAAAGTACTGATACGACACGTCGATTAAATTTTTTAAAATTCTTTATTGATATAGTATAAATTTGGTTTGTACTTGTTATTAATTTTTTTGTTGAAATCTTTTAAATATGAGTATCTATTGTACTTGTTATTTGATAATAATTTTAAGTTAAAAATATATAATATTTTTGATAAAAAATGAAAAATGATCATGGTAGAGTGTCGATATCTGACATGTGTTCAACACGGACACGTCACCGTAGTTGAACTGTCCGTGCAACAAAAATCATGAGACCTTTCGTTTGCTATGAATCTTCCGGAACATCTACAAATATGGTAAAATCTTTTCCAGAATACAATAATTTTGGTCTGAAAGGTGGCAAATCTCATAAGCTTAAAGTCCTTGGGCCACTGTCATGTGGAAAATATATCATGCAAAACAGTAAATTAATCCAATCTGTTTAGTTCCCATTCTCGTACATATGATCATAGTCAGCGGTAGAACATTTTAAGGGGGGTTGATCCTGCATTCAAGGCTACAAACTCATATTACCTCCTCATTATCAAACAGAGCAATCATCCTAATTGTATGCTCATTTGCTAAATCTTCCAGTGATGCACATGAGTCAACAAGAGCTCTCAAGGCACAAAAGCTTGACGCAAGATTATCCAATCTCCCAGAAAATATGAATTCATTATTAGCACCTCCAAGGCAGCTAGGTTGGGTATCGCAAACATTTAACTCCACGCTGGCTATATTTTCAACTTTACAGCCTAACTCACCTGACAAGATCTGAAATATGACATAAGTGACAATTACTAAAGACGTCCAATACCCTCAAGCACCATAAGCAACATATAATGCAACACAATGTAATTATTGTATATCATTTATTTTTTCTCTATCTTGTAACAAATGTAGGCGTTACAGGAGATAATAGGTCCAACGAAGACACTTCATGAGTTCTAAGAGAAACATACAATCATGTAGTAAATTTGTGGGATGAGACTACCCATCACATAGAGAAGTTATTCAGGAGAACTGGTAAAGGGGATAAAAAATGGCATGTAATATTCAAACAATATATGCACTTTCCAGTTTATATATTCTAGTCATTGTGATATTCAGCCAAAATCCATCAGACAACTTTCTTATTTCACGAGGGAAGAAAGTTTTATCATCTAAAATGTTAAATTACTGCAGATATTCTAAATATGCCCCCAAGAAGAACGCAGAAATTCCTCGTACAATGTTGTAGAAAATGGAATAGTTTTGATCAATCACTTAATCAGCCTATCTAGAAACATTTGGATTTAACAGTTGATTTGAGGACTTTAAGAGATTAACTACTAACAGCATGTGCACACAGAACAGTAGAAGCAAGAATTCATGATAAATGAAGATCATGTCAGTGCAAGGGTACCAACACTTTGATATTTTTCATTTATTTCAGCAGGATTGGACGAAGCAGATAAATGGATACGATAGTGTTCAGTGGAAATATAAAAAAATGACCTAACTTTGAGGACCATGCTGCACGATATTGAGAAGCCAAAAGCATGACTTTAAAATCCAAAGAAAGTATCTGACATCTGGCTTCACATCTATGTGGACAAGTATTAAAAGTCAACAACCGAAGAAGTACATAACTTTTTGGAAAAAGAAATATTGCTTTGAATGGAAAATATTTTAACAGGGATATACAATCTTATTTCAAATATTCTAATTAAAATCTTGCACCTCTCTTCGTCTAATCTTTCTCTACCCCTAACATCACTATGCAATGCTTAAGAATAGTCCACCCTCACTGCAGCCCCATTGCAACTTATCACTGATTTTATTACCACAGATAAATCAAAAGAAGTACCTCCATAAGTAGTTGATGATGTGGATCTTTTGAAGAGGATGCATTCATTTTATCATTGAGCTCAGACAATGCTTTCTCTGGTTCTGTTGCCAGTAATGGGATAAGGTGAGTCTCCAGGTTTGGCTTAAACCCATCTGTATTTACTGTCCTAAGAACAACAAAGCAAAAGGTGTCAGTGATGCCGCCTACGCGATAACAATACACTCTTACCAGATACCACAGTAGTTCAGTGGACGGGTTAATATATTGGAAAGATGCTAAGAAAATTGAAAACAACATAGTATGGCCCTCAAGGAATCAATTAGAACATAGAAGAAACCTTGATAAAAAAAAAGCGACTTCGTGGATGTTCAGATTTTCTTATGAAGCACATATGAGCATCCTAGAGAGAGAGATCCATATTCTTGCCTCGCTATCTATTCAATAAGCCAGAATTTCAAAAAAGTTCATGTAGTTTATAAATAAAGAATTTCCTTTTTAACAGATGCCAAAGACATCTTGCAGTTCACTTAGTTCTAACCAGTAATATGGTGGAAGAGACTGAAGTATATTTTTTTTCATAGACAAGCAAAAACAAGTTACATGAAACCAATATAGCAAATTTAGATTCTTTTTAATTTCTAAACGTTATGAATTCTTAATAACTTCCTAAGTCAGTATATGCTGGCTTGGATGAGTCAATGAGTTCATCGAACCATTTTCAAGTTGATAATGTCACAAGTCTCCCCAAAACTAACCAGAAACAGCTTTTCAGATGATATATGTGTGTGTGACTATGTATAAATCACAGAATTGTGATTTACTCTCACACAATATTTGGAAGTATTAAACAGCAGTCACTGTATTTTTAACCCAGAACATAGAATTGTACTTTTTTGCATTAAGATGTAAGGAGAAACTAAAAGAAAAACCAACCCTTGGAAGAAATCAAAATACCTGTTGAGATGAATGGCTAATGTAGGTACTCGCAATAGAGGTCTATTAATTTTCACAAGTTTATGTGAAAAGGAACCATCATCAGCTCTCAAAATGACTCTTCCAGCTAAACTTAGGTCCCTGTCGAACCAAGTGTGCCATAAACCACTACCATAAGTTTGCAAATTGACCATGAGATAGCCGGATTTGGACGAAGAAGACTTTGGCTTCAGTTTTAGACATGGGCTATCTGTATGTGCAGCGATCACATGAAAACCATTACCAATGGAATACCTGCAATACTAAGAAATGATTTTTTTAATCAATAAGACCATACTGAAAGAACAGGAAAAGGTATTAAAGTTGGATAGTCATATGTCACGAAAAATAAAAATCAGAAAGTACAATGATGAAAGAATAAGAATTCCTTAGGAAAAGAAAGAAGCAACCAGGAAAGTTTAATTTTAGACAAGCTAAAAGTAAAGTAATGCGTAAAGAAAATGCAAGCAGTTTTAGAAGAAATACAGCCTTGCCCTATGATGTGTATCATTCATGCATCTATTTGAAGTTCAATAGCCAGTTCCTCAGTCCATTTGGCATAATAATCTGCATGCTTGGGCTGGCAAGGATGTATTCTTTTACTAGTAATGGAGTGCTTGATGAGTAGGATGTATACACTCACCTTTCCCCAATGGCAAATGCAACCAAAGAGGACATGTTACGAGTGAAAAAATAACGTCCACCAGGCTTCAGTTCCCATTCTTCATTCTCATTCAACAAATGGAATCCAGCAGTGACTAGTTGTCGTTTTGCTTCAGCTACAAAGCATTTATGTGTATAAGCGAGTAATGTATCATTACATAAATATAGAAGTGATTAAGTTTTCTATTTTGTTGTTTCGGAAGACATGGTAAACTGCAGATGCTATGTAGAGACTTATGAGAACAATTAGTAACAGGTGCAATTCCTACAGAACTTTCATTTATTGCCGATGCTTTGACACGCTAAACCAGAATCCATAATGATTTCCAAAATTAGTTTAAAAACACAAACCAGGTAAGATGGATAAAGGATTCTGCAAATTTTACATCTAACACGTGAGAATGGCTCATCAATTTTTATTCCATATATGTGTTCTTTCAATTACAATGCTCTCCTACAATACCATCAGCTTATTCCCAATGCACTATGCGATAAAGATCTGTTTGTGCCTCTTCTGATTAAGGATGATAGTGGCCTTTCAATATCAAGGAAAGTTACTTCTGCTGTAATAGGTTCATCTTCTTAACTCTTTCAAGTTTATCAATTCATTGTCATGGGAACATATAATTACAATATCCTTCAATCATTGTCCCATTGTCCGTTAACTCCCGTGAGATGCACTTACTATTTTGTGCAGCAAAGGCTGTGAAGCTTCAACTCTCCAGAGTCTGAACAAAAATTTTCTCTGTATGCATAAAACTTATTCCCTAGAAGGTAAAGGTATCATGGTGCTATTTGCTTCTTGCATGATTAAAACAGCTACATTCCAGTTTAAATCTATTAGCAGAAAAGGGTATTGAATTTTCTCCAACAATTCTTCAAATTGCAGTTTATTATCTGTTTTCAGATCATGTCTAACAACTACACAAGTTCATTCATTTGATATTGTAGATTCCCAACATCTGAATAGCAGGTTTTCCCCATATCTCTAATGGAGATTCTACAAGTAACCTAATAAGAGTTTCATACTCGAGGAATTATGGAACAATAGAAAGTCATTCCTGCCTTTCAATTTTTGCCAGACAGCCTAAAAATGAATGCTTTAAAATTAAACTTGACATGTGAAAATAATCACAATAAATTGCTCCTTTATCCAAATTCTGACACCTACTAATGAAACTATATGAAAGTGTAGTATTACCTTTTCGTTTTCACAAATAAAAGGGAAAAACAAATACACATTGCTAATTCTCAAGAAGAAAGAAGAAGTTATTCTAAGAAAGAATTTTCAGAAGAACAAATTCTCATTATCTGAATTGAATTGAATCACACTCAGCCCTTCAAGAGTCTTTATCAATAATGCACGATATAGGCTGACAATGTAATTAAATTCTAACAAAATGAAGTAGACAATTGATTAACCTCCAAAATCTGTACTCCCATCCCACATGCAATATTGCATTTAGTTTTATCACACATATGGTAAAGAAAAAGGAAAATGCGATACCTGTGGCGTGAAAATGCGTCCAAGACTCATTTAGATAGTCAAGAAGATCACCAACAATCGAATAGCTAGATTCGGCATTCATACTACTGCTCTGCATTTTAAAAAATAAATAATAAAAAAAGTATCACATTTTTAAGCATAAAAATAGTCTATTTCCACATACTCATAAATAAAAATTAATAATTATACTACATGTATATAATTATAGAGCGCAAAAGTGAGGAATACCTCGGAGTTGGAGGCGACAGCTGAAGTGGTGGAGAGCTTACGGCGGCGAGAGGTGTAGCCGGAGAGATGATAATTGCAATAATTAGCGTTGAGTGTGAAGATTGGTGTGGAGGAGGGAGGGGATTTTGACATGATAATGGAGGGTTTGATGAATGAGTATGGGTGGTGGAGTTGAAACCGAGCCATAGCCGCCATTTCTATTGCAGTAACCTCAAACTCGACTTTAATGTTGGGACTTTGTCAAGAACTCAGTTTGCCACCAAACTTTGAACATTTATTAATGTTAGTCCCCAACTTTTTCTTTTAAATATTTTTTCTTAAGGTAAGTTTTTTTAGACACCTAATTTTTTTTGGAAAATGCTACATGTAGTGCATGGAGTGCTACATGGTCAAGTGACGGCATCCTACGTGGCCAGGTGGCAGCACTCTATTAGTTAAAACTGTAGTACATATAGTTTATTCCATTTTTTCCCCCAAAAATATACTTTAATCCTTGGGATGCGGTACCATAGCCTTCGTAGAACAAGCGCGTAAAATTTCTCTCCAAATTCCTCCCAATAAAAACCCTAATTTCGCTTGATTTGCATCCTTTCTATTCACATCCCTCCAGATTTCTAGATCCGTTAAATCCACGCGCTTTTGATTTTAATTCGATATTAATCTTTGAAAGAAATCCTAATATATCTCGGATTGATGGCGAGAGAATTCAACGTGCCTCCAGTGAGATTCCCCTCCGGCGGAAACCCTGCTGGCGGCGCCGCTGGCCCCCAACAACGCCACCTGCCTACCGCCCCCTTCCAACCCCCACGATCCTCTAACCCTAGCATTCCATTCATGTCATTTGATGTCAATTCTGCTGCTGCTTCGGCTTCGTTTTCAACTCCTCAATTCCCCCCCACAATCTCCGCCGGCGGCGCCACCGGATTCGAGGACGAACCACCACTCCTGGAGGAGCTTGGCATTAACACTAAGCAAATATACCAGAAAACAATTTCTATCCTCAATCCGTATAGAATCAATGCCCGTCTCCATGAAGATGCAGATCTCTCCGGCCCTTTCCTTTTCCTAATGGCATTTGGACTCTTCCAACTCCTTGCTGGAAAGTTCCATTTCGGGATAATCCTCGGCTGGGTTACTTTGGCATCATTGTTTCTATACGTTGTTTTAAAAATGTTAGCGGCCAATAATGGGAATCTTGATTTATACAGGTGTCTTAGCCTGATCGGATACTGTATCCTGCCGATTGTGATACTTTCGGCTGTGTCGTTGTTTGTGCCCCAGGGTGGGATGGTGATAATGGTGTTGATGGGACTGTGTGTGATATGGTCAACACGAGTTTGCACACGCCTATTTGTTGAGCTGGCATCCTATGGGGATGAGCACCGAGGCCTTATTGCGTATGCTTGCTTCTTAATTTACATGCTCTTCTCTCTGCTTGTGATTTTCTGATCGAATCACTATTATCAAATTGAGTTGCATCTCGTCAAACTGGGTATTGGTTGTTAGTATTCAGAGGCTTTAAGTGGAGTAGAAGCCAAATCATAGTAGGGTTGGACACTGAATCTACTTGTTTTGGCTTTCAAATGATTTTAATGTGGCAGATAATGTGCTACACCTCCGAGATTTTGATTTTTGCACTTTAAGACATGGTTTAATCATCTTATTTTGAATGGTGATTATTAAATGAGTGCTACTTTTTAGTTGATGAAATCAAAATGATTAGAAATATCGGCAATCTTTAGCATCTATGCTCATGGTTGATTAGATTCTTTGTTAATTATTTGTGAACATCATGATTTTCTCCATGTAATAGCTGCCAGAATTTTCAGTGAAAATGGACGCATAAGCTTTCATTGTAGTCATTGCCAAGATTTAAATTTACAGAAAGTTAAAAACGAGTGCATTGTGAAAATGGACGCATAAGCTTTCATTGTAGTCATTGCCAAGATTTAAATTTACATAAAGTTAAAAATGAGTGCATTTGTGTAGCAGGAAGATATCTATTGTGTTTGTTTTCTATTTGGGAAAGATATGAAAGAAATCTAGGAAAAAAATTTAATTCCAGAGGACCTCTAAAGATTTTGAGAACCCTGCAAAGGCCAACAGATGAGAATTTACTCTCCGCCAAATCCAAAATGTTATGCTTCATTGTTCAAAAACTATATGAGGCATATGCCTCGAGTTTCACCTCGCATGAGACTTTCATATAATGCTCTTTGAGGCTATTAGAGGATGATGATATAGAATGAGAAAAATCTGATACCAATGGGGAGGGTGATTG